ACAAGGGTGGAGGAGGAGTAGCCTTGTATGTGGACAATACTTTAAAATGTAAGGTGATGAATTATATGTCAACAGTGATTGATAATGTATTGGAATGTATCACGATTGAAATCTGCAAAGAAAAAACGAAAAATGTAATCATCAGTTGTATATATAGAGCACCCGGCTCTAGTATTGAGATTTTCAAGGACTGGATGGAGGAAATATTCTCAAAAGTGATTCATAAAACAGTTTTCATTTGTGGTGACTTCAATATTGACCTTCTAAATCCAAATAATCACAGCATGACAGAAGAATTTATCAACACAATGTACAGTATGGGTTTATATCCAAAGATTACTAGACCCAGCAGAATCACATCGCACTGTGCTACTCTCATAGACAATATATTCACAAATGACATAGAAAACAATACAGTAAGTGGACTCTTAATAATGATATAAGTGACCACCTACCAGTATTTGCAGTTTATGACAGAAACTATAGTAATAACATGCCGGACAAAGCTATTCAATACAGACGAGTTATATCAGAGGAAGCAATGAACGCTTTAAAAAATGCCTTACTGGCACAAAGATGGGATGATTTATACAAAGAAAACAATATTGACAGTGCATATGATCAATTCCTGAGAATGTTTGTATCATTATATAATACATACTGCCCAATTGTCAAATACAGTAGAAAAATGAAATATGCAGAATGTCCATGGATCACAAGGGGTTTACAAAATGCCTGTAAAAAGACAAATTCATTGTTTAGAGATTTCATGCGAAATAAAACAAAAGAGACAGAGATTAGATATAAAAAATATAAAAATAAATGAACAATTATAATAAGGACCTGCAAAAGTGAATACTATCGGAAAATACTAGACAAAAATAAAAACAACATTAAAGAAATATGGAGAATAGTATTATAAAAAATGGGTCTAGAAAAAGGAGTTATCCTACATACTTCATTGACAAGAATAAGGAAGAGGAAAATATGGATGTTGTATCCAACAGTTTCAATGATTTCTTTGTAAATGTTGGACCTGAATTAGCAGACAAAATCCCTGATGGAGGAACATCAGAAAAAAACCTGGAAAACGTAATAAAACGTAATCCTTTCTCAATGTTCCTCACAGCAGTGCATGAAAGGGAAGTAGTTGATATTGTAACGAAATGTAAAAACAAAAAATCTACCGATTGTGATGACATTGACATGACTGTATTAAAAAAGGTTATAGATGTTATTTCAAAACCATTCACACACATATGTAACTTATCATTCCAAACTGGTGCATTTCCTAACAAAATGAAAATAGCAAAAATCATACCTTTGTTCAAAGCTGGGAACAAACATCACTTCACAAACTACAGACCTGTCTCACTTCTACCACAATTCTTAAAAATTCTTGAAAAGCTTTTAAATAACAGACGGGACAATTTCATAGAAAAACACAAACTTCTCACCGAAAGTCAATATGGATTCAGAGCCAATAGATCAACATCGATGGCTTTAATAGACTCACTTGAAGAAATTACTAGCTCAATTGAATATTCATTGACCTAAAAAAGGCATTTGACACAATTAATCATGACATATTAATAAAAAAACTGGAACGTTATGGAATCAGGGGTGTAGTTTTGGAATGGGAAAGGAGTTATTTAACCAACAGGCAACAGTTTGTGAAGCTGGGAGAGTGTTGTTCTTCATATTTGGACATTACATGCGGTGTCCCCTCAGGGGTCAGTATTGGGGCCGAAACTATTTGTTATGTATATTAATGAAATATGCAATGTATCGACAGTACTCAAGTTTGTTTTGTTTGCTGATGACACTAGTATATCTTGTTCTGGGGACAATGTACAGCTACTATTGGAAGAGATCACAGCTGAAATATGCAAACTAAAGTTATGGCTAAACAGTAATAAGTTATCATTAAACTTGAATAAAACAACATTAATCATATTTGGAAATAGCAATACACAAGCATCCATTAAGATAGATGGGATTTTCATTGAGAGAGTTAAAGAACATAAATTCCTTAGAATCACAATTGATGAGAAACTGAGCTGGAAACCACAAATAAAACATATTCATTCCAAAGTCTCAAGAAGTATTGCAATATTAAACAAGGCAAAACAGATTCTTGATCAAAATTCCCTCTACATTCTTTACTGTTCATTGGTTTTACCTTATTTAAGTTACTGTGCAGAGGTTTGGGGCAGTAATTATAAAACTACAACACAATCCCTATTTATTCTACAAAAAAGAGCAATAAGACTTATTAAAAATGTCGGCTATAGGGATCATACAAACCCATTATTCTTAGAGCTAAAATTATTAAAACTGTCAGATCTTGTTGAATTCCAAATCGCACAAATCATGTTTAAGGCAAAAAACGTTCAGTTACCTGGGAATATTCAGATATTGTTCAATGAAAGACAAGGGAATTATTATTTACGGGGTTCATTTATATTCACTAATGTTAGGGTGCGCACAACAAAGAGAAGTTTTTGTGTTTCTGTTTGTGGGGTGAAGATCTGGAACAATTTGAGTGAGGAGCTAAAGGGATGTCCAAACATAAAACTATTCAAAAAGAGGTATAAAGACACAATTCTCTCAAGGTGCATGATAGATGAAACTGCTAAACCATAACTGTTTATATTCTTGTTTTGTATTCTATTTATGAATTTGTGTTTGTATGAATTTGTGTATGTACATATGTATATATATAAATATATAGAGACCATTGTCCTAACTTGCCTGTATATATTATATGAATGATTATATAAATTATTCAAGATTATAAGTATGCGTTTATATTGTATGTTAACATATATTAAGATGTAAAAAAAGAAAAAAAGGGAGAAGGGGTCGGATTAAATAAGTGTAAACTTCTTCTGACCCCTTTTCGGACGTGTAATGAGCTAAAGCTTTGTTGTTTATTGATATCAGACAATGATACTACAGATTATTCAATTATTAATTAAATGTTTCGTTTTGTTATTGCATTCATTTGTATAGTACTGTATCATGTCTGTATCACCTTTTGTTTCATTTGTATTTTCTTTGGTTTTACACGCTCGAAAAAAATAAATAAACTAAACTAAACTAAACTGGATGAACTCAAGAAACACTATCTCCGCCTACAAGGCCTTCCCCTTCCCTCTTTTCCAAAGTGCAGCCTCTCCTACTAATAGGTGCAGATAACTTTCACCTCATTACCCCAACCAAAAGAGTCTCTTTGGGTCCACAGGGGGCACCAATAGCCCTCCAGCTAGGTTCAAATACAAGATCTCACTCCTCACCCATCAGTGCATCCACGGGAACGCTCCTTCATACCTCAAGGAACTACTCTCCTCACAAACCTCCACACGCAACCTCCATTCTACAACCAACCATCTGCTTTCCCCCCCAGGACCAAACTCCGCACTGTAGAGTCTGGAGGACTGATCATTTATTCTGGCAAATTACTCAGACCTACTAATTAACCTAACCGAAGTTATTGAGTCTATGTAAGTTTGCTGCTTGGCTCAGATCCACCAACGTCAGCAAGATCTCACCTCTATTAACTCCCTGAAGAACCAGGTTCAATTAACTGCTGTTTCAATTCAGACGACCCTCTTAATCTGTTTAAGCGATCCCGAAGGATTTTGATATCAGTAAATGAGTGTGGCCCTATACTAAGTGTGAGTGTGGCAGTGTGCAATCTTACCTTTGAAGCAGGAGAGGAGAGCGCTGATGTATTTTAAGTTGTCCCAATCCAAAAGGTGGGATCAGTTTATTTGAAGAAAAATAGGTCCAAACTTATACAGGGCTTTACCTTCTCTCGTTACAACATTATAATCATACTAAACATATCATGCTGGGGTTATTTTCTAATCTAAAACCTTAATTCATAGTTCACACATTAAAGTCTTCCGACAAAATCCAAAAGGAATTTCCTCACAGATCGACGGGGTTAACATCCACACACTATGGCCTGACACATGTAAGAGGTCAGTTCCTCAGAATGTTCAGATTGAATTCCGACATAACCCAGAGGGATCTCCTCGTGGATCGAAGGTTCTAACATTCACAGCCTATAGCCTGACACATTTAAGTGGTTTTGCTCCTCAGAATGATCAGTTAGAAATCCTAAGTTTAAAAACTTTCATCCATCCATTCACTCAGCATTCAATACACAGAGATTCAAGCAATAGTTACCAAGTTTGAGAGAACCTTACCGAGAGCAAAAACCCAGCTCTGAAGCTGTTTCTCTCTCACCCAGTGTTTTAAAGCTCAAAACAGGATATAACAACCCAAAGACACCTCCTCCATACCCATATTTGTGGAAACTGGGCATGGCCTCTGATGTACAGGACTGGACATGAACAGACATATTCTATGGCATAAGACACACCTTCCCATGTTTGTGTAAAAAGGACATGACCCCGACTCTGCAGGACTTGCAAAATATTATTCTCGGCTATGACATAACCACCTTTTTGGGGCCTCAATGTATTTCTCCTTAAGTCAGGAGCCCCCCCTCCCTGTGTACTGCTGTGAGGGGAGAGAGAAGAAACTGCCTCTCCTCTTATCAGTGACAACCATAAACCATTATAGGCCTTACACACTCAACTTAACAAACCACTTTGTTTATACTGTAAATATAGAAAATCATAAAATATGATGCATTTTCATTGTGGGTTATACAAGAATATAATTGATTATACTTGATTATAATTAACTTTCGTTTTAAGTATTCATCCTAATATGGAGGTCTCAACATACCTCAAGGTTCTGAGACTACTCTCCTCACAAACCTCCACAAGCAACCTCCATTCTACAACCAACCATCTGCTCCCCCCCCCCAGCACCAAACTCCGCACCATGGGGGGGCTTTCTGTTCACCTGTGGAATTCCCTCCCAGACAAACTGAGGACTCCACAGACCACTGACTCCTTTAAGAAGGGCCTAAAAACCTTTCTTTTTTTAAAGCCTTTTATTAAACTTGTGTTTCTTTAAAAAAAGAAGTATATGATGCCCCTTGTAGCACTTTGAGATGACTTTTAGCAATGAAAGGTGCTTTACAAATAAAATGCATTATTCTTATTCTTATTCTTATCATTAGGTTGGACACTCCAAGGGCCCCCCCTATTCAGGAGCCATCGGATGCCCCCCAGAGTCTCTTCACCCCAACTGGAACCCCCGATGCCGAACTCAGTCGTCAGGTGGAGAAACTATGGCAGATAGGTGTCCTCCCCTTTCAGGAAGAGCAAGGCATCACCAGATCCAAGAGCCCCTCCAGTCCAGTGGACCCCCTTCCAGCAGCTCATTGACCGGCTCCTGCGTCCCACTCTCAGTATGCAGATATCCGGATGACTACATCGTTCAAAGTGAGGTGTTGGGGCAGGTAAAGGCGGGGCTCCAAGCTAACCTGAAGAAGAGTGAGTTGGGGTATCTGGGGTCGATGGAGTCTCCTCTTTGGGGCCGGGATGGGTGGGAGGTGGTGGTAGGTAGCAGCAGGTGTATGTGCAACACATCTTTCTTCTTAAGAAAAGCTTTAAGTACAATTGATTGTTTTTGTTCATTTCATATTGAGGAGAGCCAACAGGAAGTCTCTCATCAGCTGCAGCCTTCTTCTTTATTTTCCAAAATGCCTCCACGCTCCTCTTCACGTCTCAAACTCGCCCCGTGATGAATAAACTGAGAACAAAGAAAACCTGAGCTTACAGATTTGTCTGGAACACCAGAAAAACGTGTTGAAACCTCAATAAATAAACTTCACACGGTACGACCTCTCACCTTTCTGTGTGTCTTCACTTCCTGTCACCTGAGAGGAGAAGGAGAGAGAGAGAGAATAATGATGATAATAAAACAAAGAGAAAAAGACAGAATGATGAAGAGAGAAAGAAGAGTGTTGTTTTCCTCTGAGGTCACGCTCCATTAAAGAGTTTACTATCTTGATGAATGGAGGATATGGTTTCAGTACTCACAGGTCTTCTGGATCGTGGCTCTGAACGTCTCTCCTTGTCCATGTCCGATCCTGTAGAGATGAACACAATCCAACAGTTTAAGATCCAGTTTAAAATAAGTGTTAGTTCTTTGAGTCAGCTTCAGAGTCCTGATCTCATGCTTTACATCCCATCATATCTTCTCTGCAAACACTACGACTGCCTGCCACAGCTCTCAGCTGCATGACAGGAAGTAACCACTCATTGGTCTAGATCAGGGGGGTCCAAACTTTTTTCACCGAGGGCCACATACAGAAAAATATATAAAGGTCTGGGCCGCTCTCTAGAGGTATGTTGCCTCATAAGTTCAGTTATAAGTCAGGAAACTCAATCAGATGAAGGTAAAGGATGCTTGTTACTTGAGGATGCTTTAAGAAACAAAACAGCTCTCAGCTCTCCAGAGGGTTTACTGTATTCTGTCAGCAGCTCATTCCTTTAAACAGGAGCTTCAGATTGATTATAATTACAGGAAATATGAAGGGTTTATTTCACGCTTGTTATAACAATAAGTTATTGGGCTTTTTTCTTATCAAGTTAGATTTGTTAGGAAATGTTTTCAGCTTTAATTGACTGCATTTATTTTAAAGGTGGGCTTATTAACACATGAATACTACTGTGTAATATATGTGTACATATATATTTAAGAAGTACAATATAAGACAAGCAGAAGTTTCCTTTGTGGGCCATATTCCATTATACTTTCAGAATTTGCTGAGGGCCGATTCCGAGGGCCGCATTTGGCCCCTGGACCGCAGTTTGGACACCCCTGGGCTAGAAACTGAAAACATCCCATAAGAACAGACTACCTTTCCCACTCTTCTGTAAAACCCCATATGTCTGTCAGAGAGTTGATTACTAAAGTGTGGCTTTGCATTTCCAGCTGGCCTTCTATAGTTGATGGAAGAATGAAAGAGCCTGCAGTCAGTGGGTAACATCACTGATCCGTTTCCCCAGTGAGAGAAACACCTCCCTGTGGTTCATACAATACTGCTGAACCAGCAGAGACCCCTTACTGACCCGAGAGTCTCCAGTCTGCAGTCTGGACTCTCCAGAAGATCTCTCAGCAGCTTCACATCTGAATCCTGCAGACCGTTGCTCCACAGGTTCAGATATCTCAGATGGATGTTGGACTTCAGAGCTGAGGCCAGAGCAGAACAGCTGATCTCTGACAAACTGCAGTGCTCCAGACTGAATAAAGAAAACATGATGAGGATACAAATCTGTTTATAATCAGATGTGTTATTCAACATTGAAATGAATGGGAACAAAACATGTCTTCTTCAGAAAGTCAACTTTATCCTGTAAAACTAATATTACTTCAGATGAACTTTATTCAGACGTTATCGTTTACTAAATATTAAAAACATAGATTTACTTTTCACAACTAACATCTATTACAGTTCCTTTAAGAAACAGTCAACATTTATCTCTGCAGTTCTTACTTTAGTACCTACAAATGAAAGTATGAATAAAAGAACATTTACAACTTTATGGATGTAAGTTAATTACCGTAATTTTCGGACTATAAGGTGCACCTGAATATAAGCCGCAGCAGCTAAATTGAATGATGTGTACATATATAAGCCGCACTGGACTATAAGCCGCAGGTGTTTTAATGTTTAATTACCATATCTAAGGGTTCGTGCACAGAGGGGATTGTCGGGAAAGAGATGGCTGTTTGAGGAAGCTCCCATTTATTAACATTTCAACAAACAAGTTGCATATTTGCATAACGTATTCAAGTGTTACCATTTAGTGCAATAGTAGCTACAGAACATGTACTGTGCTGTGTAAACTGTACTGTATCACATAGCGTTTCAGACACACACACTTTTCAACTTTCAAACATAGGAGAGGTTACGTCTTCTTTGTGTTATAAGATAGGACTGGCAGGGTCAGTCAAACCTGGTCGTTATCCCGCGGAGCTCCTGTCCCGGTCCCTTGCGCTCTCTCGGCCCGGTGTCTACAGGGCTAGCCCGAGGATCCCCCGCAGCTAGCAACAGGCCTTCAAAACAATGTTAGAGGCGCTCCTGAAACAGCGTCAAAACGGGTATATTTCCCGGGCTTTAATATACGCTTTGTTTCACTCGTTTGTTGTTTTGTTCCTCCGTGTTTTCAGAGCAAGTCGTCGGAGCTGTAAAAATCCATAGATTAGCCGCACCGTTATATAAGCCGCAGGGTCGAAAAATGGGAAGAAAGTCGCGGCTTATAGTCCGAAAATTACGGTATGTAGAAAAATCAGGTTGAATAACTAATGACTAGTGACTTTTGCATGATAGGAGACCTTTAATGTCAGAGATGATGTAGAAACAATCCATTGATAATCTGGAACTTTAACTTTGATCAGATGTTTAACAACTCCTTCATCTCCCTCACAGCTCATCAGTACTGACAGCATCTCCACTGACTCATGGAGCACAGAGTGAGTCTGAGGAAGCTCAAACACTCTCCCTCACACATTCACCTTCTCTTTGTTACTCTGATCAATATTCAGTCATTAGCAAAAGTGGAAAAATAACTTTAATATATTTTTTTCAAATTCAGAAAATGATAAACAAACAGATGAAGTTCAGTCAGTGAACTGACCTGAGAGACTCCAGTCTGCAGTTTGGACTCTTCAGAAGATCTCTCAGCAGCTTCTCTGAACCCTTCAGATCGTTGCCTCTCAGGTCCAGATGTCTCAGATGGATGTTGGACTTCAGAGCTGAGGCCAGAGCAGAACAGCTAATCTCTGACAACCTGCAGTAACTCAGACTGAATAAAGAAAACATGATGAGGATACAAATCTGTTTATAATCAGATGTTATTCAACATTGAAATGAATGGGAACAAAAACATGTCTTCTTCAGAAAGTCAACTTTATCCTGTAAACTAATATTACTTCAGATTAACTTTATTCAGACGTTATCGTTTACTAAATATTAAAAACATAGATTTACTTTTCACAACTAACATCTATTACAGTTCCTTTGAGAATCAGTCAACATTTATCTCTGCAGTTCTTACTTTAGTACCTACAAATGAAAGTATGAATAAAAGAACATTTACAACTTTATGGATGTAAGTTAATTACCGTAATTTTCGGACTATAAGGTGCACCTGAATATAAGCCGCAGCAGCTAAATTGAATGATGTGTACATATATAAGCCGCACTGGACTATAAACCGCAGGTGTTTTAATGTTTAATTACCATATCTAAGGGTTCGTGCACAGAGGGGATTGTCGGGAAAGAGATGGCTGTTTGAGGAAGCTCCCATTTATTAACATTTCAACAAACAAGTTGCATATTTGCATAACGTATTCAAGTGTTACCATTTAGTGCAATAGTAGCTACAGAACATGTACTGTGCTGTGTAAACTGTACTGGATCACATAGCGTTTCAGACACACACACTTTTCAACTTTCAAACATAGGAGAGGTTACGTCTTCTTTGTGTTATAAGATAGGACTGGCAGGGTCAGTCAAACCTGGTCGTTATCCCGCGGAGCTCCTGTCCCGGTCCCTTGCGCTCTCTCGGCCCGGTGTCTACAGGGCTAGCCCGAGGATCCCCCGCAGCTAGCAACAGGCCTTCAAAACAATGTTAGAGGCGCTCCTGAAACAGCGTCAAAACGGGTATATTTCCCGGGCTTTAATATACGCTTTGTTTCACTCGTTTGTTGTTTTGTTCCTCCGTGTTTTCAGAGCAAGTCGTCGGAGCTGTAAAAATCCATAGATTAGCCGCACCGTTATATAAGCCGCAGGGTCGAAAAATGGGAAGAAAGTCGCGGCTTATAGTCCGAAAATTACGGTATGTAGAAAAATCAGGTTGAATAACTAATGACTAGTGACTTTTGCATGATAGGAGACCTTTAACCTCAGAGATGATGTAGAAACAATCCATTGATAATCTGGAACTTTAACTTTGATCAGATGTTTAACAACTCCTTCATCTCCCTCACAGCTTATCAGTACTGACAGCATCTCCACTGACTCATGGAGCACAGAGTGAGTCTGAGGAAGCTCAAACTCTCTCCCTCACACATTCACCTTCTCTTTGTTACTCTGATCAATATTCAGTCATTAGCAAAAGTGGAAAAAAAACTTTAATGTATTTTTTTCAAATTCAGAAAATGATAAACACAAACAGATGAAGTTCAGTCAGTGAACTGACCTGAGAGCCTCCAGTCTGCAGTTTGGACTCTTTAGTCCAGAGCTCAGCAGCTCCACTCCTGAATCCTTCTGATCGTTGCCACTCAGGTCCAGATCTCTCAGATGGGAGGGATCAGACTTCAGAGCTGAGGCCACGACTTCACAGTGAGTCTCTGAGAGTCCACAGTTAGCAAGTCTATAATAACACAGATATTACAACATGTGTTAAAAAAGAGGAAACATAATGACCTCAAGCATTTGATGAAAAACATATTTGACATGTTCTGATTGAGATTTGCTGTTAGTCCATTTTAATAATATATGATAATAGAGTGTAATGTGTTGTCAGTGTGATCTGATCACAGGTCTGTGCTCCTGCTGTCACTGACTGTTACCATAGAAACAGAAATTAAATAAATCACTTGACAATATTAGAGATGTACATATTTAAATGTTAGTTAATATTGAGATGTGAATGATGGATGTTTTGGTTTCTCTGAGCATCTGGAAATGTATTGTGCACACAAACACAGTTAACAAACCAATAAAGTTTCAATATTTTAAACTGAATACCATCAGATGTTCTCACTATATGAGCATTAAGACATAACTCTGGTATTGGTGGGATCTGATATAGATCTTATTTTAAACTCTAACACATTGTGATAAAAACGTGTGTGTGTTTAATGATAAAGAAACTAGAAAGTAATAATAACTGATAACTGTAAGTCCTGCTGTGTGGTGTGATCACATGCTGAGAAACCTCTAGAGTCCTTCATGTGTTTGACATGTCGCCTCCATCACTCAATATGAAGAGAGAAACGCTTCAGTTTAACTATTATTATAAATAAATAGAAGAACAGTCTTGGTTTATTTTGCTCTCAGTATTTAAACAGCAGAAATGTTATAGTGTTTATTTGAATAATTAAACTTCTGATCCACATTAGTTTATAAAGTTAATCACATCTGGACTTACTTGGCCTTCCTGCAGTTCCTCACAGCTGGAATCAGTCTCTGTTTCCCCTCCCGTGATGTGTTGTACTTCCTCATGTTCAACTCATCCAGAACCTCCTCTGACATCTGCAGCATGTAGGCCAGAGCAGAGCAGTGGATCACAGAGAGTTCCTTCTCTGATCTGTTCTCTGACTTCAGGAACTCTGTGATCTCCTGATGTACTGAGTGGTCCTTCATCTCTGTCAGACAGTGGAAGATGTTGATGCTCCTGTCAGGAGAGATTTCATCACTGCTCATCTCCTTCAGGTTGCTGATGGCTCTCTGGATGGTTTCTGGACGGTTGTCCGTGCGACCCAGCAGGCCTCCTAAGAGTCTCTGGTTGGACTCCAGAGAGAGGCCGTGGAGAAAGCGGACAAACAGGTCCAGGTGGCCATTTTTACTTCTGAGGGATTTCTCCATGGCTCCCTTTAGGAAGACATCCAGGGATGGGTAATCCTGATCACTGTTTTTACTGTTCTCATAGTACCAGTCTCTCTGCAGGAAGTCCTTCAGTACCTCTGTGTTCCTGTTGGTGTAACAGTGCAACATGTAGACTGCAGCCAGAAACTCCTGAATGCTCAGATGAACAAAGCAGTAGACTGTTTCCTTGAAGATCACTCTCTCTCTTTTGAAGATCTCTGTACAAACTCCTGAGTGCACCAAGGCCTCGGTGACACCAAGACCACAGCGCTGCAGGTCTTCTTGGTAGAACATGATGTCTCCTTTCTCCAGATGTTCAAACGCCAGCCTCCCCAGCTTCAGAAGAACCTTCCTGTCAGCCTCCGTCAGCTGCTGTGGACTCGTCTCATGTCCCGCTTCATACTTCTGCTTCTTCCTCTTGGTCTGGACCAGCAGGAAGTGTGAGTACATGTCAGTGAGGGTCTGGGGCAGCTCTCCTCTCTGGTCTGTAGTAAACATGTGGTCCAGAACTACAGCAGTGATCCAGCAGAAGACTGGGATCTGACACATGATGTGGAGGCTCCTGGAGCTCTTGATGTGAGAGATGATTCTGCTGGACAGGTCTTCATCACTCGATCTCCTCCTGAAGTACTTCTCCTTCTGGGCGTCAGTGAAGCCTCGTACTTCTGTTACCCTGTCCACACACTCAGGAGGGATCTGATTGGCCGCTGCAGGTCTGGAAGTTATCCAGACGAGAGCCGAGGGAAGCAGCTTCCCCCTGATGAGGTTTGTCAGCAGCACGTTGACTGAGGACTGCTGTAAGACATCAGACACAACCTCATTGTTTCTGAAGTCCAGAGAAAGTCTGCTTTCATCCAGGCCGTCAAAGATGAGCAGCACTTTGCAGACAGCCAGCTGCTCTGCTGTGACCTTCTGTAAGGTTGGATGGAAAACATGGAGCAGCCTGAGAAGACTGTACTGCTCACCTTTGATCAGGTTCATCTCCCTGAAGGAGAGCGGGATCACCAGACTGACATCTTGGTTTCCCAAACCCTCGGCCCAGTCCAGAGTGAACTTCTGCACTGAGAAGGTTTTTCCAACTCCAGCGACTCCGTTGGTCAGGACCGCTCTGATGAGAGTCTGTTGGTCAGATGAGGCTTTAAAGATGTCCTGGCACTTGATTGGAGTGTCATGGAGGGTCTCTTTCTTGGAAGCTGTCTCCAGCTGCCTCACCTCATGTTGGGTATTAACCTCTTCACTCTGGCCTTGTGTGATGTAGAGCTCAGTGAAGATCCTGTTGAGGAGGGTTTCACTTTGATCAGTTCCTTCAGTCACACGTTCACATCTCCTCCTCAGACTGAGCCTATGTTCATCTAAAACCTCCTGCAGACCACTATCTGCTGAAAGAGAAGGAAACAGGAGAGAATCAGGAAATGCTTTTGAGAATATAACAATAAAACTAATAAAAACAGACTGAGTTTAAATGTTTTATAAACATTTTAATGTCTATGTTCTTCAACAGAATACCTAATAAAAAAAACAAATGAACCAGGAAGAGGAATAAGACGCTGCATGAGTTCGGCCTCTTACCTCGTACAGAGCTGGTCTGACTGGCTCTGTAGCCTTTATTTAACCAGGTCAAATATCCCGAGATCAACGATCTCTTTTTCACGGGAGACCTGCGGAGAGGAACACATCCTTTATAGCACTTTACTTCAGAGAGGCTGATTCTCACCAAAGGTACAACAAGGGGGCACATTCTAGTTTGATCTTTAAAAAAAGGTCTATATAATATATACCCTTGTGATCAGGTATAGCTTACAATTCACATGATCATAAAACCAGAGAGCATCCTGTCTGGATTCATCACCCAGAGGAGCACATGTTCCCTGTATCTACACACACTGTATTAACCTGGTACACTATAAACCCAACTTGCATAGAATCTGCTGTGAATTAATATAAATAAACATATGGAAAGGATGCCTAAATAACAACAGAATGATACTGATGTGTAAAAAGCCTGAGTTAATGCTTTGTCAGGTCTGTCTCCAACACAACGAGCATAACATTTGTTTTCCTTTTTGTTTCTGAAGAGATGGGTTTGATTAAAGCTAGGCTAACATTAGCTGCTCCATCAACACTCAGAGTAACTTCATGAAGTCATAAGTACAGCAGTCACTATATTGCAGGGGTCGGCAACCCCTGGCACGCGTGCCAGCATTGGCACGCGGCACCGTAGCCAGTGGCACACTAGGAATAAGTCGAATAAGTGTGCAAAATATTTAAATTGTATTTTCGGATCCTGAACGAGACCGCCGCCAGAGCGCGTCTCCCCGTTACCTGCAGAAGGAAGCCATGCACGCAACGCAGCCCCGCTCTCTTTAACTCCAGGTGACTTTCTGCCGCTTTCCTCCGTGGTGCAGTGCTGATCGTTTCACCACGGAAGAAAGCACTTCACAAATTGCAGTACCCATAAGGAGCTTTACAAATGTCGCAGTTTTTGCGTGGCTGTGTGTGTCTTTAGTTGAAAGCCCAGTGGCGATCTGCTCATCTCTCATTGAAATAATATGCTACAAAGGGGCGGACTGGCCATCTGTGTGTTGAACTTTCCTGTCGGCTCCCAGACCGTAGTCGAGGAGGGCAGAAGCAACGAGCTTCAGGTTCAATAACCCACTTTAGCTTAAATGACTGGAGAGAGGCGAGCTCTTCTTGAGAGGCCGTTGCATTTATTTAGCTGTTCTTCTGTTTCACAAAATACATCACAGACCTGTTTTTCTGCTGCCTCGTTTCACTTCCAGAAACATACTCACACGCACACGCCACACCCCTCTCTCTCTCTCTTAAAGGGACAGCGATCTCATCTCACTCTGCATGACCCTAATATCATAACATGTGTGTTCTGGAGAATCACAGAACGGACGATCGTCCTTATTATTATGCCGTTTAAACCAATTATTTAAATGTGTTTGTTAAATTCGGTATCATGTAAGTTGCGCTGACAGGTCCACACACTGCTTCCCCGCAGCGAGGCCCCCCCGCCCTCCTGTTGATAGATCACGAGCGTCAAGCTCCTCAACATCCTCCACCCACCCCCCCCCCCCCCCCCCCCGTTGATAATTCTCGATCGTTGGCACGCTGATAATTTTTTTTTTTTTAAATGGCACTTCATATCAAAAAGGTTGCCGACCCCTGCTATATTGTTAGCACCACAGACAGTCTCTGGTTTATACAGGAACATGAATAACCCTGATTGAATATGAGCTGCTGTCGAGCTCTGTTCTCCTCTCTGATTCCCCTCAGACCGTCAGAGACCCCAGGAGCACAATCTCAACACTGACAGGTTTTTGTAACAGAGCGTCACAAACTTTACACTCAAGTTGAAATGTGTCACGCTGCACGAATACGCAGGTGATATGAATTTAACATCTTCACTTCCTTCGTGTTGCCAGGCACGGATCTGGGTCTTCGTATTGACTCTACATGTGATTTCACAAAACTCTGTTTTATCTGCTAATGCTAAACACAACCAGCTCACCAGGTTATCACTATTATTAATAAACATCTTAAAAAGACATATCATAGATATGCCCAAGTAGTTAAATAATGTTTTGGACAATATATATCGTTTTTAAATCAGTATTTATCAATATTGTTGCTATTTAAAACTATTTTATACACAGATACAATGATAATATAATTGCATATTGAAATATCCTTAGATAATGTTAGCTTACTCTGCTGCGTTTTCCCTTTACAAACTGCTCACATGATTTCATTAAAGAACAGTTTGATATATTAGATTACATCAAAACTGGATCCTCTTCAGGTCAGTTTACAGGAGAGACTCTTACTTTGTGTCTGAGGGTCCAGGTTCATTACTGAAGTATGGAGGAAGCCACCCTTTAGACCCGTCACTCTTCAGAGACCACATGGAGACCGTAGACCCTGCTCTCTGTCTGTGGAAACAACACATGTTTAAACATCATTAGTTCATTTAAAGAGCAGCTTTAACAAAGATGCACGCACGCGCACGCGCACACACACACACACACACACACACACACACACACACACACACACACACACACACACACACACACACACACCACACACACACACACACACACACACACACACACACACACACACACACACACACACACACACACACACACACACACACACACACACACACACACACACACACACACACACACACACACACACACACACACACACACAATGAATAAGAGTGCACTTGCTAGGTCTTACCGATATTAGCGAGCCACTATCAGAATGAATCATCACAGCGCTAATGAGAGATAGCTAGCTCGAGTCAGACCCTCTGCTTTCTCACATACATCAACCGCAGGGTCAAGCCTCCAGAAAACTCTTCGGATATTAATAGTGACTCAAACTACATTTGATCGATGAATAACTACCAACACACTTCAGAGAAATAAAAGTTCTGAATGCAGAGATTTAGGATTATTTCTCACTGCTTCATTTGTCTTTAGTTTGGTCTATAACTTCCTAACTGGGAGTTTTGTGTTGGAGATGTATTTCAGAATACTCTCTTTGTAGTTTGAATATCAGGGTTTATACACTTTTTCACCAATGATTTTCAATGACTTCTCCATGACCTTTACCTAATTTTCCATGACCAAAACAATGACTCTTTCTCAGCGTACCACTGAAAATGGTTTATTTTAACATGGAACAGTTGTGCCTATCTCAAACAAATCAAATAGGCTTACTAGCTTCTACACCAGGGGTCACAAACCTTTTTTAGGGTGAGGGCTACTTTCAAAAAATAAAACAAGTCGGGGGCTACTTTTACTCCTCTTTTTTTTATTTTTTGCTGTGAAACGTGTTTTCAATTCAAATTCAAAGGTTTTAATGTCATATGCACAAAAGTGTAGAAATGGCAAGGAAAATCGTATGACCAGAGCTACTCCAACAATGCAATACATAATAGAATAAGAAAATAAAAATACAAAATAGCGCAAGAAGTCTATATACACTTAAATCGACTATGATATATACAAGAACAGAATGTAAAATAAAATATTGTACAGTGAGATGAAATGAAATGTTTGTACATAATTATGCATTATTGGTAGTCAGTGGTTACATGTTTGGTTCTGTCTAAGCTACTATTTCACCTATGCAACATATATATATATATATATATATATATATATATATATATATATATATATATATATCAATATTTCAATTACTTGTATATAGACTATTCTGCAGTATTTCTATTATATTCTATTGTATTGTATTTACTTGCACTATATTATCTGTTTTATTGTGTTGCACTGTTGGAGCAGCCTGTGACCTAAGATGTTCATTGTCATAACTACACTGTAGCTATGCACACATGACAATAAAAGCCTTGAATCTTGAATCTTTGTTGATAAACAAAAGGTTTACCAACTCTTGCAGACATTATGATAACGTTTTCTACATTGTCTCACAGACCTGAGGTGTCCCACGTTGTAGAACTTGCTGGCTCCATCAGTACTTGGCACCACTTTGAGGCAGAAGGCGGGCTGCAGGTGTCGGACCTCCAGCAGCACCAGAGCCAGGTACTGAATGAAGAGCAGAGCGTCCACCAGCGAGGCGGCGTACTCCACGATCCCCCGGTAGTCCCTCTCCCTCGGCTCCAGCACCCGCACGCCGTAGAACAACCAATAGGACGCCACGAACAGGAACACCAGCACCATGAGCAGGCAGCGGAAGCCGAAGAAGCGCGGGAGCGTGGCGCGAGGCGGGCGGAGGAACAGCGCCCAGGAGGAGATGAGCAGCACCAGCAGCTTGAAGGCCAGGGAGACGTAGAGGCCCTCGCAGGGCAGGATGAGGAAGGCGAGTGGGGTGAGGAGCGCCAAGAAGCTCAGGACGCCCCCCATCAGTATCAAGTCCTGGGGGGAGGAGGAGGAGGAGTCGGGGCTCACAAAGTCCGCTAAGCACCGGCCAGAGACATGGACAACGAGTCGGGATACTCGTACAAGTCCTCGCACTCCAGGACCTCCCGCAAGCACAGGTCAACCTTACTCCTGAGGGAATCTATCTTGGAGGTCGACGAGGGGGGAGCAGGAGAAGGGAGGCGGGGCGGAGGGGGAGGCTAGAGAGAGGAGAGGGGGGAGAGAGGACGGTGGGCGGGAGAGACGCTGCAGGAGAGCTGAGGTGGATGGGACCTGAAAGAGACAAGGAAAGAAAATGTGATGGTTAAACCTTAATCTCAGGTCTTCTAGGGTTAGTGTTAAGGCAAGGCAAGGCAAGGCAAGTTTATTTATATAGCACCTTTCAACACAAGGTAATTCAAAGTGCTTTACAAAAATGGAAGACATTTTAAAAATGGCATTTAAAATCAGTCATTAAAAAGGAAAGATAATAAAATAAACATTAAAAGAAAAAATACATGGATAAAAGTTAAAAGTTACAGTGCAGTTTAAGATGTGAATAGTTCAATTAAAAGCAGCGGCAAAAAGAAAAGTCTTCAGCCTGGATTTAAAAGTAGTAAGAGTTGCAGCGGACCTGCAGGTTTCTGGGAGTTTGTTCCAGATATTCGGAGCATAATAACTGAATGCTGCTTTACCATGTTTAGTTCTGACTCTGGGGACAGAAAGCTGACCAGTCCCTGAAGACCTGAGGGTTCTGGATGGTTCATAATTTAGCAGTAGGTCAGACATGTATTTTGGGCCTAAACCATTCAAAGCTTTATAAACCAGCAACAATATTTTGAAATCTATTCTTTGACACACAGGAAGCCAGTGTAAAGACTTCAGAACAGGAGTGATGTGATCCACTTTCTTAGTGTTAGTGAGGACTCGAGCAGCGGCGTTCTGAATTAGCTGCAGCTTTCTAATAGATTTTTTAGTGAGGCCTGTAAAGACACCATTGCAGTAGTCGAGTCTACTGAAGAGAAAAGCATGGACAAGTTTTTCCAAATCCTGCTGTGACATTAGTCCTTTAATCCTAGATATGTTCTTTAGGTGATAGTAGGCTGATTTAGTAACTGTTTTAATGTGACTGTTGAAACTCAGGTCAGAGTCCATGACTACACCTAGATTTCTGGCTTTATCTGTTGTTTTGAACATTGCAGACTGAAGCTCAGCGCTAACTTTTATACGTTCTGCCTTGGCTCCAAAAACCATTACCTCAGTTTTATCTTTGTTTAATTGGAGAAAGTTCTGACACATCCAGTCATTGATTTGTTCAATGCACTTACTCAGTGTTTGAATTGGAGCATAATCTCCTGGTGAAATTGTTACGTAAATTTGTGTGTCATCCGCATAGCTATGGTAACTTATTTTGTTGTTTTTCATTATCTGAGCCAGTGGTAGCATGTAGATGTTAAAGAGAAGAGGCCCCAAGATGGAGCCTTGAGGTACCCCACATGTCATATTTGTCAACTCAGATGTGTATTTACCTATAGAAATAAAGTTTTTTCTGTCCTTTAAGTAGGACTCAAACCAATTTAGAACTGTTGCCGAAAGTCCCACCCAGTTTTCTAGTCGGTCTAGTAATATGTTGTGGTCAACAGTGTCAAATGCAGCACTGAGATCTAATAATACTAACACTGAAGTTCTGCCACTGTCTGTGTTTAAGTGGATGTCATTGAAGACCTTTACAAGAGCAGTCTCAGTGCTGTGGTTTGGACGAAATCCTGACTGGAACACATCCAAAGAGTTATTTAAATGCAAGAAGTTACTCAACTGTTGAAATACTACTTTTTCAATGATTTTACCTAGAAATGGCAGGTTTGATATTGGCCTGTAATTGTTCATTACTGAGGCATCTAGATTATTCTTTTTTAAGAGCGGTTTAATGACTGCAGTTTTCAGGGCCTCTGGAAAAATACCTGAGTGAAGAGATGTGTTTACTATATGAAGTAGATCTGAGGCCATGCAAGGAAAAACATCTTTGAAAAATCCTGTTGGAATAATATCAAGGCAGCAGGAGGAGGATTTCAGAAGTTGAATAATGTCCTCTAAGTTTTTACCATTAATCTGATGGAATTGTGTCATGGTGTTTGAATTGATATTAGGTGGACATAGGGACAAAACATTTGCTGTACCTGATGTAGAGGCACTGACTGCTTGTCTAATTTTCTGAATTTTGTCAGTGAAGAAGGAGGCAAAATCATTGCACGCCCTGGTGGATAGAAATTCAGAGGCTACTGACACTGGGGGGTTAGTTAGTCTGTCGACGGTAGCAAACAAGGCACGTGCGTTGTTTTTGTTTTTGGTAATGATGTCAGAGAAGAAAGACTGTCGTGCGTTTTTCAATTCCAAATTATAAAGGCCAAGTCTCTCTTTATAGATTTCAAAGTGAACCTGGAGATTTGTTTTTCGCCACCTACGTTCAGCTTTTCGACACTCTCTTTTTTCTGTTCTCACGGTCATGGCCTTTCTCCATGGAGATATTTTCTTGCTAATCACTTCCTTTACCTTAGTTGGAGCAATGGTATCTATAACATTTTTAATTTTTGAATTAAAATGATCTACTAGCTCATTTACTGAGATGTTAGCAGGGGCAAGTGTGGATGAGAAATTATGAGTAAACATTTCCCTAGTATTTTCAGTTAAATATTGCTTTGTGGTTACCTCTTTCTGAACATTTTTGTGAACAGAAATAGAGCTCTCAAAGAAAACACAGGAATGATCAGAGAGTGCAACATCAGTCACCACAACCTTTGAGATATTCAGACCCTTTGAGATAATTAAGTCCAGAGTGTGCCCCTTATTGTGCGTGGGCTCCGCCACATGCTGAGTCAGTCCATAGTTATCAAGAACACAAAACAGTTCTTTAGCCCCTCTGTCCTGGGGGTTGTCAACATGGATGTTAAAATCACCAACAATGACTAAACGGTCAAAGTCAATACACACTATAGACAGCAGTTCAGTAAAATCATCAAAAAAGCTTGCACAGTATTTGGGTGGTCTATAGATATTTAGGAACAGAGCTCGAGAGGAGCATTTCAGCTGAAGGGCCACATATTCAAAAGAAGCAAAGTCCCCATAAGATGTCTTCCTGCATTGAATGGAATCATTGAACAAAATAGCAACTCCACCCCCTTTCTTATGCATTCTTTCCTGACTCATAAAACTAAAGTTGGGAGGGGTTGATTCGATAAGAACAGCTGCACTGTTATTTTGTTCAATCCAAGTTTCCGTTAAAAACATAAAATCGAGATTGTGCTCAGTGATAAAATCATTGATTAAAAATGTTTTTCCTGCCAAAGACCTGACATTTAATAAAGCTAGTTTAAGTTTGTTAAATACACTATCAGTAAAAAAAATTGTGACAAGCTGTGGCTGACATGGAATCACTGCTAAATTTGATAACCTCACACAAACGTTTGAGCACTTCCTGTTTCTAAGCTGATTTACCGCTCTTAATCTATTACCTATCAACACAGATATCGGCAAAGCTACTGGCAGGCAGGGCCCCGGCATGTGCTGGAAAGAGTTGAGAGTGCCATATGCCCTTGAGCCTGGACCCAGCACATATCAGTAAAAGTTTGTTGCGTTTTGTACACACACATCCTTATCAGGCTTCGGAGACTGCAGATGCTTTCTTGAAGGGATGGGAGGTGGTTGACATAGGCACAGTGATGAAGACGGGTTTAGACTGGTCTGCTTTCTGTCCACAGAGTCAGAACTAAACATGGCGAAGCAGCGTTCAGTTATTATGCTCCAAATATCTGGAGCAAACTACCAGAAACATGCAGGTAAGGTTCGTTTATTTATATAGCACATTTTCAGACACAGAGGCAATTCAAAGTGCTTGCATCATAATTAACACTTAAAGGTAGGGTAGGTAAGAATGGAGAAACCAGCTCGAGTAAGCTATCATTTGAAAGTACGCAGGTGAAAAAAATCTGTCTCTTCCTTTAGACTTCCTTACAGAGCCCCTCCTCCAACACACACCGTGTTGGCTACCCCTGATCTACACGCTAAAGCCACTAAAATCTCTCACCAGCAAAATACCTTGACAGTTAAATGGCATTTCACGTTTCATTACTATACAGTATTTATTATCATTATGGTATTACTATTTCGGCGATTAGATAAAATATAAATTATATTTGATGCAACTTTAGTTACATTTCCATGACTTTTCCAAAACTTTGGGAAAAATATTGTTTTCCATGACTTTTCCAGGGCCTGGAATTAGCATTTTGAATTTCCATGACTTTTCCAGGTTTTTAATGACCGTAGGAACCCTGGAATATACAAATGTAGTATTAGTACTCACCCTCTGACTGCGCGGTGTGACTCCCGCTGATTTGATGTCAGGGAACTTGATGCCTGCTGTTTCTGGAACAGTCTACAAAAAGAACAAATCTGATAAGATACAAAATAAAACACCCCTCTGAACTTTGGATATTTTAAACATGAAAAAATAGTCTGCTAATTTAGTGATGTTATATAACAAATAATATGTTGCATTTGCTGGTAAAAGCTTCTCAGCTACGAATGGTTGTGATTCATTTCCCTCATTTTGAGTGCACATCTTACCGGTTTTTCACACACACACACACACACACACACACACACACACACACACACACACACACACACACACACACACACACACACACACACACACACACACACACACACACACACACACACACACACACACACACACTACATTTTGACTGCGCTGGGCTGTCACATGTTATGTAACTCTGATGAATCAGAAAACAGGAAATAATAAAAGTGTACAACACTTGCAGAAGTCTCAATGGACTCTAGGACGCAGATTGTTAACCAATAAGTTATTTTCTCTCTTATTAACACTCACCCTTTTGTTCTCCTCCTGACGAGCTGTAAAATGGCGTCTGGCAGTCTGACTTCCTACTTTCAACTTCCCTCACTGTCTGCAGCTCCTCCCTCTGATTCATAACCAGCCTTATCAGCTGAAGCAGTTCACACCTTTATATATACAGTCTATGGTTCACACACAGGGACTTTGTTCAGTGAGATAGAAAAAGACATGCAGCTAAAAACAAGCTCCACAAAGTTATCAAAAGGACACAACATCCACACATCAGCGTCCATAGGATATAATTCAATCTGCTTTATATAACAAACAATGAACAGCGACTTAAATAAAAACACAAGGCTAAATTTAACTAATTTACAAGATATGCCAAAATCAGGGCTGCAATAGAGATTTCTCCTCTAGCAAGTGTTTTAAATAGGAGAAACAGTGTTTTAAATAGGGGCAGAGAAACAGGAGAGAATCAGGCTGCAGCACCTCACTGAAAAGTGTTTTAAATAGGAGGAAAGTGTGCAGGGATGCTCAAATGTGTGTTCATGCAGCACCTAAATAATGGTAATACTGATTAAAAATCATTTCTCGGGCAGAAAGTATTTTAAAAGTGAGAAAAACTATTTTAAATGGCTTAAAAAGCACCAAGTGATTTAAGTGCAGTTCCAAGATTCCCCACAGGAGGGCTTCAGGGCGCGCATCACCCGACATGAGCACAGTGCATTAACAGCAGAAAATACGATTAAAAAAAGGCAAATCAATTGATTTAAAGTGCAGGGAGGCTCCGCACCAGACACAGGTACATTCCTACATCCCCACAATAGTGACACTGATGGTTTAAAGTCGTTTCTGCGGGGAACAGAGTGCTAAAAGTCTGATTGTTTCAGAGACCCATAGTAATGATACAATAAACCATTTACATCTAAAAGTATTGATTACAATTCATACATATATATATATATATATATATATATATATATATATATATATATATATATATATATATATATATACACAGGGTTGGGTGAAGTGTTTTGCCCCAAATACCAAAAATACCTCATCTGCACTTTTCCCCATAAAAATGAATTTTAATCAATACTTTTAGATGTAAATGGTTTATTGTATCATTACTATGGGTCTCTGAAACAATCAGACGTTTACCACACTGTTATCAGACTTTTAGCACTCTGTTCCCCGCAGAAACGACTTTAAACCATCAGTGTCACTATTGTGGGGATGTAGGAATGTACCTGTGTCTGGTGCGGAGCCTCCCTGCACTTTAAATCAATTGATTTGCCTTATATATATATATATATACGTTAAAAACTGCAATATATACCTGGCTGCTAAATCCTCAGAACTGTTACAGGATGTGTATTTTGTAAATTGTATAACTTTTTATTTTATTATATTTTTTTATCATATAACTTTTTTTTTACTTTAAATACTTTTTTTTGCATGTAACTATGTAACATTAAGCTGTCAGTGGCTCTTTTCTGCTGTAACAACGTGCATGTCCCCTCTGTGGGACTAATAAAGGTTTTCTGATTCTGAACTACGATGCTCAACAGCTCGCTTAACGGAACTTTGACGCTGGTATCAGTTTGGTTTCCCACCAATCACGGGAGTATTGTGTATAGAAAGTCTTGAAAGTAGGCTTGTTTGAGACAAGCGAGACCTGCGCAATTGCGATCAACGTCTTGCTCGTGCGTTGCATGATGGTTAGTCATTTTGTCCGACTTGCTCTGGAGGCTCGCCTACATGAGACGTTGAAATCTCGCGGGACAAAGACGCCCGCAGACTTGAGAGCGAGGCTCGGCGAGGCGGCGCAGTTTCTCTCCCCGGGCTGCGGAAGCGAAATGCTTGATGGGAAACGACTCGCTGGTATCTCGAGCTGAGTGCTCATTGGTGGGTTTTACCCCGTGCTGGAGATGAAACTCTCCATTGGCTCGGCAAAAGTGTGTTGTTGTTTTGTGTCAGTTTTACGTCGCCACTTCCATTCACATTTTTCATCATTGTTCCACAATGTTTATCATCATGACATTAATATCTATATATTTTATACTATACTTGCACTGCTTACCGTTGTCATACTTTATATATCTTAGCATATTCATACAACACACTGTTCATACTAGGCTAGGCTACTGTGTATATAGTGTATTCATACCCCTCACTGTTTTTTCATCATTCAATTCATTCTATATTTTATTCTGTAGATTGTGTACATTACTTTTCACTTTACTGCTTTTTGCACTCCTGGTTAGAAGCTAAACTGCATTTCGTTGTCTCAGTACCTGTAATCTGTGCAATATCAATAAAGTTGAATCTAATCTTGAGCAGGAACAAATGTATTTACTTAGTACATATCTGACATTAACGATTAAACACATTTGTCCATTCTTTATCAATCAATCAATCAATGTTTATTTATATAGCCCAATATCACAAATGTTACATTTGTCTCAGTGGACTTCACAGTTTGTACAGAATATCAGTATGACAATACGACACCCTCTGTCCTTACGTTTCACATCATACAAGGAAAAACTTCCAGAGAAAAACCCACAGTTTAAAGGGGAAATGGGAGAAACCTCAGGGAGAGCAACAGAGGAGGGATCCCTCTCCCAGGACGGACAGACGTGCAATAGATGCCGTGTGCATTTATAAATGCAAACCGAGTCAAGCCGACTCCGGAGGTGGCGGTATGCACCTTAAAGTTGTTTGAAATCCGCCAAAAAACCGAGAGAAGAAGAAGAAGAAGAAGAAGAAGAAGAAGAAGAAGAAGAAGAAGAAGAAGAAGAAGAAGAAGAAGAAGAAGAAGAAGAAGAAGAAGAAGAAGAAGAAGAAGAAGAAGAAGAAGAAGAAGAAGAAGAAGAAGAAGAAGAAGAAGAAGAAGAAGAAGAAGCCGACTCCGAGCTGTCCGACTTCAGGCGAGTTTTTTGAGACCTCCCCCGGCTGCGATCGGCTATTCTCGTCTACTTTCGAGGCGAGCCGCAGCTCGTCTCAAACAAGCCTATTATTTCTCGCGCAACCTTACATCCATGAAGGCAACATGAGTCATGACAGAGGGAGGGCTGTCACTCAGGGTGCTAAACTACTCTTTGGTAAGCCCCGCCCCCCCAAGCAACATCAGGTTCAAAAGCTTGAAAGCGAAAAAAACGGTGAAACCTGAAAAAACAAGATTTGAAACTGAAAAAATAATTGTTTGGAATCTGAAAACGGAAAATCTGCAACTGAAAAAAAGAAGGATTCAAATATCAAAATATGTATAAAAGGAGTGGAGCTGTCTTTTTATGAAAAGTAATTAAGCTCGCTCCGACTTCTTTCTCTTTTTATTTATCGAAAAAAGCGAACTATTCAGTCAGACAGCAATTTATTGGTAACAAGTGCAATTTCAAGTACTTTATCCAAAATCCAAGCACTTTAACCAAAATTCAAGCACTTTATCCAAAATCCAAGCACTTTTCAAACCTTGAAAACACCACATGAAATTTCAAGCATTTTCAAGGATTTCCAGCACCGTACGAACCCTGAATAATTGTTACAGCTCGAGTGGAATTGTTCTGTCTGCTTTTCCTCAAGTCAACCCTAGGGGGAGTAAAGAACTATAAGCCATCAAATCTCATAAAGGTTTTCTCCGTCAGCAACAAAAGATGGAGGCTTCACAAAACAAAATAAATTCAGCCGAACCAAAGAGTGTTTTCATCTCTACCTTTTATTCCTCCTGAGTGCCAAACGCCATGAACATGTAACTCATCATCAGTCCGTTACCTCAACATATTATTTACAAAAATATTCATCTTTTTGCTGCAGTCATTCAGTCAGTAGGGGCTTGGACTGTGAGCCGTAGGGTCGCCGGTTCAAGTCCCCGACCAGGCCTAAATATGGAGTGTGGACTTCTACTTGGAGAGGTCCCAGTTCACCTCCTGCCCTGCTGTGGTGCCCTTGAGCAAGGCACCAGACAACCCCTTCCCCCCTCACTCCCATTGCTCCCCGGGCGCTGTACACAGGGTTCTTACACCTTTTCCAAAGTCAAATTCAAGCACTTTTCAAGCATTTTCAAGGTGCATTTTCAAGCATCTTACAGCTGTTGTAAATTACATATTTATATACACATACTTATACTCAAATGATTATTTCCCTACCTCACATTAAATCAGATGTTCTTTATGCTATAAACAACCAAATGTGTGTTTCATAATAGCATTCTACATGAGGATGAAAAATTAAAAATGTTAGAAAAGAAAACTAAGTTTAATATTTCAAAATGGGTGACCCATCTGTACGTAGACTGGGCATCCCATATAACCTGGCTGAGCCAATATAAAACAATCAGCCAAATAACTTTTCAATATATTATTGATTACTATTTTTGAGGTACTTTTAGGTTGGCAGTAAACACAAGTCAGAGGTAAATGGTGTACTTTGACTCCACTACATGTATTTAATACCTTTAGTTACTTTACAGATGTGGATGAATGATGTGAAATATAATCAAGTGTTAAATCAGACTTTAGTTCCACCTGGAGTAAATTCACAAGCTACTCTGTAGTATACAAAGTCATTCAAACTAGCTGCACCTTTACCAGCTTTGAGAACACTTTCATGATCAATCATTATAAAACATATCATATACAATTATTAGGGATGCTCCGATCGCCAATTTTGGGGCCGATCGCCGGAATCAGTATCGGCCGATACCGCTCTCTTTTCCTCTCGCATCTCTCTCTCTCTCTATCCTCCTCTCTCTCTCTCTCTCTCGGAGAGAGAGAGAGAGAGAAGATTCGAGGTAGAGAGAGAGATAAGAGAGAGCGAGCAGAGAGAGAGATAGCAGAGACTAGAAGAGAGAGGCTATCATCTCTATCTCTAGATCATTCGCCTTCATATCTAGCTACTCATCTCTCTCTCTCTCTCTCTCTCTCTCTCTCTCTCCTCTCTCTCTCTCTCTCTGCTCTCTCCTCTCTCTCTCCTCTCGTCTCTTCTCTCTCTCTCTCTCTCTCTCTCTCTCCTCTCTCTTCTCTCCTGACAGCCCGTCAGTATTCTTCCTGGCAGCTCACTTGATCCAAGTAGATTGAGCGACCCGACACGTGAAGAATAAATATATTTATAACTAGTTTAGCTTGTTCCAGAGGTAGATAAATAGCTAAGTGTGTTAGGTCTAACTCTTAATGTGTGTTCTGCTCCGCTCACCGGTCCGTCACAGCGGGTGGAGCTGCAGGATTCTGCTTCACACACACGTTGCATACCGCTATTTTATTGTCATTTTCGGACACTTAAAATACTGCCAGACTAGTGAAGCCATTTTGGCGAGCTTGTTTTTGCCGCGCACAGAGAAAAGTGTCATGTATTTTACATGCAACGATAGCCT